CCATATTATTTACCAGAACTACATTTCCCATCATGTCCTGCAGTCACACACCGGTTTCAGGTTGCCTCCTGAATAAACACACACAGCTGAAACTGATCAGAACTGATTACTTAGACTATAAACACAACACTTCATCACCATCCATGCTGAGGCTTGTTTTCACTGTATTGAGCATAACTTAAGTGTTTGCTGGATTGTCTAACTGTGTTTTGACCATTGTTTGTTTTATGTTTATGCTTGTTTAGCCACCTGTCTCGATCTTTAGCCTGTTTTACTGACTGCTCTCTTTAGATTATCTACATGCAATCCATCTATCCCTGTTTGAACCTTGGCTGCCTGACCACGCTAATAAAAGCTGCAAATTAGATCCAACTCTTGTTGTCAACAACCCTCATTACAAATATACTGTTGACATTCTTTGCCAATTTAGGTTTAAAGTTTTTTACTGCAAATGTCACATCCATAACGTTGCATTTGCTTTAATGTGAGGTGTTTACAGATCAAATGTTTAACCTCTCAATCCCGACACAGCAGGACTGCCCGACCATATGAAACTTGTTTGATCTTTAGGAGCAAAGCAAATTGCTGTAGAAGTTCACTACAAAAATTTGCTTGTGGAAATTCTGTGGAAGCACATCAAATGTACCACAGCCATAAGGACAAAAAGAAAGGCCAGAGAGAAATTGCCTTGCTTTTGAACGCAGCAGCTTAGAATAGAAAGCTGTTAGCATGTAAATCTAATCATTTCCTGGGCACAATAATCTTAATATTTTCTTGCAGTGTGTGATGAACCACAAACTGTGTATGTTTGAGATCTTACTAAAGAAAATCTGTGAGGATTCTCCTGTGCACGATGCAAGTAGATTTCACAATTGGTTAGAATTTTAAAACTCCTGTAGTTTAAGCATTAATTAACTATTATAAAGATGCCACTTTCTGCTTTGATGTATATTAACATGCAAAACTGTCACCCAATTATAGCTGTAGGTGTTTACTTGTAAGCTGAATACAGCACTACTAAAGTGGGCTTTATAAGAGAAGGTTCAGAAACAAGATAGAAAGGATTTCCAAAAAATTATTTTAGAAAGTCTTTCATATATTTAAGTAAACTTTTTAAAATGACAGGTGGACAATGTGCTTGAAGAAATTAACAGGTTTAATCCTATCAAGGAGCTGTGTCATATTTCTATAGCATCTTGTTATGACACGAAGTTGTAGATGGAATCATGAAAGCAAGCTTGGGAGAACGAATTAAGGTTAGAGATAAATTTGCAGACTTGGGAAGGCAGCCTTGAGGATATACATGAGGTATCTCCCCTCATGTGTAAAACAGCACAAGGACCCACTTGATACTTGATACTCCTAACCCACTACTTGTGTCCTTAATTACAAACATTTTGGGAAAATATATTAAAATGTTTTTCTAAAGCCCTCCAAAATATCTTGAACCATGTCTACTTATAGCTGTTCTTGGGATATTTGGTTAGAGGTCTTTAAAAATATGAAAGGCGAGCCATCTTATTTGGTTTAGTAATTGCCAAAAGGGCCATTTTGAGAATGTGGAAAAATTAATCTGTACCTAAATTTGTTATGTGGGGTAGAGGTCTCGTAAACATGCTTGCTTTGGAGAGGTTGAGATATATCAATAATGATAAATTGGAGATATTAAATAAAACATAGGGACAGATATTAGAACACCCTAATGCGTTGGAAGAAATGCAAGCTTAACCAATGACCCCTGTCAAAAACATAGAAAATAAAGATTAAGTGTAATTGATATTCATTCATTCATTTTCTTTTTGGCTTAGTTCCTTTATTAATCCAGAGTCGCCACAGAATAAACCGCCATTTTATCCAGCGTTTATGCAGCGGATGTCCTTCCAGCTGCAACCCATCTCTGGGAAACATCCATACATACTCATTCACACTCATACACTACGGACAATTTAGTCTAGCCAATTCACCTGTTTTTGGACTGGAGGAAACCGGAGGAAATCCAAGTAAATGCGGGGAGAACATGCAAAGTCCACACAGAAACGGCAACTGACCCAGCCGAGGCTTGAACCGGCAACCTTCTTGCTGTGAGGCGACAGCACTACTTATTGCGCCACTGTGTCACCCCTGTAATTGACATACACTATTAATAATCTATAATAGATAAATAAAACTATAGTAATATAACAACTTACTTTATTATTACTATTATGAATGCAGTACTTGACCAGCTAAATTATATTTTGCTTTCATGATCATTTGTCCCTCTGTGTTCTGTTGTTCTGTGTTTTTATGTATCGTGTTTTATATCTATTATTATTGTATTATATTGTTTTTTCTTCTATATTTTGTTGTAGTTTTATAAAATGCAAAAAGCACAAAAAACGTTGAAAAAATTAAATTACAGGTGGAACTCAGAGGATGTTAATCAAACAAACAAATGTACTTCACTGACCTTTCAATTGAATTATTACACTGTAAAATCCAACAGTCAACTTTATCAAATGAAATGAGTGTAGTTAACTCAAAATGTACTGAAAGTTAATTCTACTCATTTGAAAAGAGTTTTGAACTCAGCGGTAAAGGTAATGAGTTAATTAAATACCTCATTACTTCAACTTAAACGGAGTAAGTTCACAGTACTCATATATATATATATATATAATATAGATTAGTTTAACTCAAATGGTTTGTTGCAATCGGTTTCCTCAAATGGTTTGAGTTGCCTTAACTTACTGGGTTTTACAGTGTATTCCAGCTTGTTAAACCAAAACTAATTAGTCACGTATGCACTATCACTCATTTCACAACAAATGATTAACATACAGATCACCTTTATATCTACATCGCTCTCTCCATAAAAAACTGTCTCAAATAAATTAAAAGTCATTCTGAATAAAAGAATTTATTTGCCTGTGCCAGTTTTGATTCATCACGGATTATTGTTGCAGTTATAACCGTGTTACTTCTTTATAATGTAGTATGTAGAGTGCAATAAATGCTATCAGATAAAAAAGAAAGACATAATTCAAGGTGACAACAAGAGTCTCATTTAGTGATTCTAATACATAAAGCTCATTAAAAGTGTTTTTTTTTCTTATCTTAAAACAAAAAGCATCCACTAGGTGGAAGTGTTTAGTTGTCACCTACATGTTTATTTCAGTAATTATCTTCTCTAATGTCATCAATTTAGCTAAACAGCTGAGTCATCACGGAGAAAATGAACACTAGCTGCCATCTTTAAAACCTGAACCTTCAACAAATAATTTCAATTTACCAATGTAATCATTCATTCAACAATTCTAAACGACGGTTAATCTCTTAACCAACATAGTTATTATAGTTATTAATATTTTTACTTGATTTTTAAAATGAATTATTTCCTTTGCATTTATTTCATAATAGTTGTCTTTTTTAATATAAATGAAATCTGACATAACAGGCCATTATTTATTTAGTTCTTAACAATGAATGAAAGTAAGACATAAAATAAAAGTGTTCACGTTTGTTTTCCTATGGTTTAGTCCCTTTTTTCATCAGGAGTCACCACAGCGGAATGAACTGCCAACTTATCTAGCACATGTTTTACACTGCAGCTGCCCTTCCAGCAGCAACCCATTACTGAAAACCTCCATACACACTCAAAATTTATCTTTAAAGAACAAACACTCTAAACAACGCTGGTTTGTTTAACTCTACATTTGAGTAAAATGTCAACAAGTTGTGTCCACTATGTACATTACTGGTCAAAAGTTTGGGGTCAGATTTTGTACTTTTTTTCTTTTTTTTTTTTTTAAGAAAATGATTCTGTTCATCAAGATGGCATTTATTAAATACAAAAAAAATTTTATTGTTAAATATTTATTAAAAGATTTAATAAATGCTTAGTGGATGTAGTTTGAAATGGAAGTATTACTCCAGTCATTGTTGCTTTTATTACTATTACTATTAATAATATTAAGAACTGTAATAATTAATATTAGATGATTTCTAAAGGATCATATGACTCTGAGAACTGGAGTTATAAAACTGAAAATTCATCTTTAAAATCACTGGAATTAATTATTAAATTAAATTATAAAGTACTTTTGAACAGTTCTTTTATAGTGCAAGAACACTTCACAATTTTAATGTTTGTACTGTATTTTTTATTTAATAAATGTGTCCTTGGTGAGTGAGAAGCATATTTTAAAACATTTAAAAATCCTACTGACCCCAAACTTCTGACCGGAAGTGTATTTCAAAGAATTTTCAGGTGGGTTTGACCATATCTTGTATAAACTGATTGTTGTAACAATGCATAAGCTAAATTCTTTGAAACAAACATTACATTCTGAGCTCCGGAGGTTTTAAAAGATTTAAATGTTAACATTTCCTTGCGTTTTACACACTCATAAATGTATAATGGAATAATGTTAAATATTTGATCCCACTTTAAACCCAACATTTTGGTTTGTTCACATTTTACAGAAATGTAGGGTGACGCAAACCATGCGTTGTTTACTTACAAAACCAGCATTAATTCAATAATTCAAATAGTCAAAACAACAACAACAACAACAACAACAACAACAACAACAGTTTGATAGGCTATAGATAATGCAACAAACAAAAAAGGGAAATTCTAACAAAGACAGTTTGGTTTTATGCATTCTGTCAAAATAATAAACACAAAGCAACAAAGTAATTGCAATTTGTTTGAAATATAAACCATAGTATAGCCATTTTTTACTTTTGATTTTCATAATGATCATTGATGCATGAACGAATAATCCTATTTCAAATTACAAATAAAAGTTTTTGAAAAACTTTCTAAATGTATGTACAAGGGAAATGCATAATAAAAGCAGAGAGAGAGAGAGAGAGAGAGAGAGAGAGAGAGAGAGAGAGAGAGAGAGAGAGAGAGAGAGGAGGCTGTGTGATTTGTTTTTATGGTGATATCACCGACTCAGACCCAGATCACACTCTCTCACCCAATGAAGTCACTGTAATAGGAAGCGAGATGCAATAACTCTGTACTGCCAATAGGTCGCACTGCATGTTGTAAACAGGGTCGCCGCGGACCTTTCTACTGTAATCTCCATTTTGAATGTTTTTATGGTTTAGGGTTTTGTGGCACGCCTCTTTTCTCATGGCCGAAAACGAGCAAATCGCCTGGATTACCCAGATGGTGTTATGAATTCGGACTAAAAACGCTGGACGCGATCTGAAGTGCAATCTACATTACGCAGTTTGCGATTTTTCTTGCTCGTCAGAAACGACCTCAGACTGCGGCGAAGGCTTTCATGTTGTTGCTAATCGCTCAGCAAAACAATGTCAGATGATGCAACAAATCAAAACAGGAACGTAAATATCAAAAGGTACGTATTCTCTTTCGACCTTAAAATCGACGTTTCCTGCTCCCCGTGCACTTGGAGACCAAAATCTGCATCGATGGCGTAAAAGTATTGCAACTAGTTTCAGATCGGTAACTGACGTTTGTAAACTGAACTCGCGACTTGTTTTTCTAGATTGCGGTTAAATGCTTAATAACGTGCTATTAGGGCGATTAATGTGCATTCGACTGTTGCGCAGTTACTGCAAGTTATTTATGGGTTCATGGTTTAAACGTGAAATGATTGATTCGTCTGTCTGCGGTGGATTAGCAGAGGGAGTGAGTAGGCCTCAGTGCGTGTCACCGATCCGCGCTCATGTTGGCTGCTGCTGCTATGCGCGTGAGCGTGCGAGGCGAGGGCGCGAGACTTGCTGCACATTTGTATTTTTATCCTTTTATTTGAATATTAATAGAGATATAAGATACATCAAAGCCTCGCATGTAGCATCGTATAACGATGTTTGAAAAAAAAAACTGTTGATAAGGGTGAAGACTATGCAATTTTATGAGGAGCTTATGAGAACAACTCCAGTATAAAGTGCGCAAGCTGTTTGCTGAACTACGTATATGTGACAAGAGTGGTTTTGCTTTTAATTTAATTCATTTAAACGCTAATAACTCGTTGCAAGTTAAAATTCATTCATCCCACATGACAAAATACTACAGTAAATTATAGTTAAAGTAATGGTGTTTTAATTATACTGTAGTAAATTGTATACAATATTGTATTATATTATCGTTAATACCTGTTAAAGCATACTGTATCACTCTTTACTGAACTAATAAATTGTAATAGATATAAACTGTAATAGGAATATAATTTTCACCATAGAATAATTCAAGTACTTTAGTATACTATAGTTCGAAAACACTTTAGTGTTTACTATAAATTCCTATAGTATTTTGTCATAGGGATAGTTGCAGTGTATGTGAAGCGAATGCAAAATAGTTCAACATGTCCCCATGTTAATTCATATTTTGTGCATTTGGCAAAATTTGATGTAGCTACAGGTTGTACTGCTTTGTAAAGTCAATGAATAGAGTATTAAAGTGAGAAACATTAGAAGTTTTTCTTATCCATTTTTCCATCCACCATTCATCTATCCTCTCTAAACGTATCTTTTGTATGGCATTTTTATTTGTTTATTTAAATACTGTAAAAGTTATACTACATTAAAATGAACTGTGGTTTTATTGAAGTAACCATATTTATGGGAGTTTTGATTACCGTTTGTATTCAGTAAGCACAGTTTTAGCACTAATACAACTGCTAACCTGGTTAGTGCAGCAAAACGGTTCATTTGTAGTTATGAAACTACAACAATTGTGTTTTTTTTCTGGAATAAAACTTTATTTTATGAATAAATGGAAAAGAATTATGAAAGAATTATGTCTTGGTTAAGGTTTTAGTACATCACATATCTGTAGAAATCTGTATTTTATAGCTGTGAGTGTGAATATTCAAATCTAGCAGAGAGAAAATAATCAAAAAACAAAACAGCCAGGATATGTTTAAATTTCCAAATAGTTTGCAGAGAGTCGGGTAGATGACCTGAGGGAAGGAACGTTAGTTTTAGTTTTTGCATTTTTGTCTGTCTTTATCTCTTTAATCATGTTTATTACTTTCGGTTAACTGTGTTTTTCAGCAATGTTGTGTTGTGTTTTACCACAGTAATGCAAAATGGATCAAGGAGGACTGGAGAATGGCAAAAAGCGAGATGAGCGTTTAAATACATTGGATTACAACAAACGAGCAACTGAGGGGATATTACCAAGAAGAATACAAAGCACCATGTCTGTGGCCCCTACATCTATGGTTCCTCAAGCCGGTCCAATGATGCAGCCAGTTTCTGGGGACATTCCCAATGGCCTGAGCAATTCGCCCACTCTGGAGGAGCACACCAGCTCGGTGTCCTCCATCTTTGGCGACGATTCCGAACTCAAACTGCTTGGGAAGGAGCAGAGGGCCCTGCAACAGCAGACCTTGGTCCCCTTCACTTTGGGTGACAGTCTTTCAGGTCTGGAGGCCAGCATTGCAGACCTTAACAACCCCTCTCCCTCAATGGATTCCCTGATTGGTGGAGTCGATCCCAATCTTTTCCCCTTAAAAACAGAGGACTTTTCTCCCATGATTAAAGGCGATATGGACCTTGACCAAGATTCCTTTGGACACATTGGGAAAGATGTTGATGTTGGCAATCATAAGCTCTTTAGTGACAACACTCTGGACCTCCTGCAGGACTTTGAGCTGGATGGATCGCCATCAGACTTCTACGTTGCTGACGATGCGTTTCTCTCCACCATAGGTGAAGATGCTCTCCTTTCAGAGCTGCCGACAAATTTAGACAGGGACTCGAAGGCTGCGGTTTCCGGGAGCAACACGCTCAATGGCACAGCTTCTTCCAGCCTCAGCACAGCCAACACCAGCATCTTGCCCAATATAAAGGTGGAGAAAGACTCTATAATCCAGCTGTGCACCCCAGGGGTCATCAAACAGGAGAACACCGGTGCGAGCTATTGTCAAGGAGGGCTCCACAGCACCCCCATTAACATATGCGGGGTCACCACTTCAAGCGGACAGAGCTTCCTCTTTGGGAACAGCTCGCCCACAGCTGTCGTCGGTCTGCAGAAAGATCAGAAGCCGGACTTTAACATGTACACCCCTCTGACCTCTTCAGGAGATGGTTGGAGCAGGAGCCAGGGCTTTGGGAATGTCAGTGGAATGCAGCAGAGGGCCAGTTTATGCTTTTCCAAAAACTTCTCAAGCAGCCCCTATTCCAGGTAAGCCATCAAGACCACCGAAATGGTCAATGCTTCTGGATAATAATGGTGAATGCGATGTTCGTGTAATGTTCAAATTGGGACTGGAAAAGATATGACTTAAAATCTTGTGTTTTTGCTTAGTTCTTAAATATTAAGTAACTTTTATTATAGTACAGTGATGAATATAGCATGCAAATATTTTTAAAATTAATATCATTACTTTAGAAATTACTTATTAAATGTTGGATTGGATGTCCTAAGCAACATTGTTGCAATTTATTAGTTTTTTTTTTCATTAAATTTCCATTTAAATTCTACAACAAGAACAACATCTAAACTGTTTTAGTATTATCTACAGTTGAAATAAGAATTATTAAATCCACTTTAAATTTATTTTCTTTTTAAAATATTTCCCAAATAATGTTTAACAGAGCAAGTAATTTTTCACAGTTTGTCTGATAGTTTTTGTTCTTCTGAAGAAAGTTTTATTTGTTTTATTTTGGCTAGAATAAAAGCAGTTTTTACTTTTTTAAATGCCATTTTAGCTCAAAATTATTATCTCTTTTAAGCAGTTTTTTTATAGTCTACAGAACAAACAATCATTATACTGTAACTTGCCTAATTACCCTAACCTGCTTAGTTAACTTAATTAACCTAGCTAAGCCTTTAAATGTCACTTTAAGCTGCATCGAAGTGTTTTGAAATGGATCTAGTCATATTTTATGTGCTGTCATCATAGCAACGATAAAATAAATCAGTTATCAGAAATGGGTTTTTAAAACCCATATTATGTTTGCATTTATTATATTTATATTATATTTAACATTTATTATGTTTAGAAATGTGCTGAAAAAATCTCTGTTAAACAAAAATTGGGGGAAAACATAGGGGCTAATTATTCTGACTTGAACTGTATATACTATTAATATTTCTGAATTAGCTTTTATATTGTATTGTTTATAAGTGGTATTCATGTTTTTCTCTCTTTAGTTGTTCTCTTGTAAATAGTACTTTTAGGTACTTTTAGAGGTTCATTTATTTTACTTTTACTTTTAGTTCAGCCTTGTCCAGTGGATAACTTGTAGTTAGTAGCACATTTTCAGTTTATTTTTATGAAATAGATTAGAAAAATATGTTCCAAACCAGTTTGGGTAATCTTTGTATTGTTCTATTGAATGCAAAATAAGATATTTTGCAAAATGTTGGAAACCTGTAACTATTGATTCCAATTAGTATTTGTTGTTCATACTATAGATGTCACTGGTTACACATTTCCAGCATTCTTCACAATATCCTCTTTTGTTTTCAATGAGAAAAAACTCAAACTGGTTTGGAAGAAAATGGCAGAATTTTCATTTTTGTATGAACTATCCCTTTCAGTTTTTTTTCCACTGTGAGTTTAATTAACAGATTTGTAATAGTTTTCAAAAGAAAAAAAGGAGAAACAATGCCAATATCCTGCAAATAAATCAAATTTGAGCAGCTTTGGCATTTAAAAATATTCAGTGTTGAGTAAGGAATGCGCGAAATAATATTTACAGCATGCATCTTCTTCTGGGAATTACAATGGCATGCACTTCCTTCAGTAAAGAGCAAAAAACCAAATTAAATCAGTTTTAAAGAACCTAAATTAGCATATACAATCATTTTTCTGCACAATCGTTAGTTTGTTGCAGCTCACAGTTTTAAACCCTTCACAATAATGCAATATCTGATACTGAACATTGGAAAATTCTCCTCTTCGCATTCATGTTCCATCATGTTTCCTGCTATCTCTCCTCACCTAGTCAAATCCAGACCTGTGCGAACAGAACACAAATTGCATGAAATGTGCTCAGAGGGCATGACAGTCGGGCAGATCTTCAGCGGAATTAATCTGTTAATTTGCCTCTTTTGTTCATTCCAAAAATATTACACATTTACAGTGAGACGAGGAAGTCTGAAGATTTCTGTACTTATGAAAGGTTATGCAAGTGACACACATAGCAGACCGATCTCCACTGTGCAGGACTCGGCAGCTCGACCCCAAACCTGCTTATCCAAAACTGCAGCAGGTTGATTACCGATGACATGACAAGCATACTGGCTTTGAGGAAGCGTCTGCATATCTGTCATGTGATCAGGGCCATTAGGGACACACCCACCTAGGCCTGCTTAGGCTCGAGGCTTAAAATAAACACGATTGTTTCTCTGATGTCACAGAGTCATCAAGTTCGAATCATGCGCAAGGGTATTATCGTTTCAGAAAGTTCTCGCTAATCAGAGCACACTGATAATAACCATATGGAATCTTAAAGTGAGCAAGAAATAAAAACAAAACCACATTTACTTTTTTCCTTGTCAGTTTGCACCACCTTAGAATTGACCTAGGGTTTTGTTTGGTGTCACTAAGGCTTTACAGGCCATTGTTTGTTTACCTAACAGTGCATCCGATAGGTGTTCAGAGGCTGATTTAAACTGTAGAGAGCAACATTGAGGTTCTGAATGTGAGATGAAATCCATGTCATTTCTTCATATGGAAAATTGCTTATATGCTAATGTTGTACATAAATTCAACATTATGAAAGAAGAATTGAGAGTTTCGTGCAGAACAACTACATTACCCAAGGTGCTGTGCTGAAAACTACACCAGAGAGCAAAGTGCTGCAAAATAAACCTTTAGCTCCGCCCACTCCATAAAGCATAGACTCTCCCTATGCATTTAAAATAATGTTATTCTTCTCATTGGTCGGCTTGTTTTGTGGCTTACGGTTTGTAAAAGACTTAGTTTTCAGGAAACCTGATAGATGATTTCTGTCCCTCACCATTCCCCTAGAGATTAAAAGACCCGTCCAAAAAAGGGTCATAAACGTGTCATACAAATAATAAGCCCAGCACTTCTTTTGAAGAGACTCAGCAGTTGTATGTGGTGACAGATTTATAATGTAATGCTGTAGTAAACACGGATGTTCAAATGCTTGAATGACAAAACCTGAGTGAGTAGTTTACTAGTAAAACAAGGGCATATTTATATGTAGCCAGTGCAAAAATATGGGTCTAACATAAATCAGTTTATGAATACTTGTATTCTGGTGTCACATTGCCATGTGCATTGGCCACACTAAAATCATACTAATTTTTGCATTTTTATCAACATCAGCAGTAGTGCTGCACGATATTGGAAAAAAATGATATTACAATATTTTATTTTTCTGCGATATATATTGTGATATGATTACAGTTTCACTAGATAGTTTGAATAGCACTAGTTTTCTAGGGAGTCAGGTACAGAAATTGAATAATCACAGTCAAAAAATGCTCTTCCTACTTTGATTTGTCTTGTTATTAGTTAAAATATGTGATATTTCTTTGATCTTAAATATCAATGTAAAATATTGTTTTGCTTTCAACTTAAGAAGAAATAAGCCAAAATTAAGAGTTTTACCTTAGAACTAGAATTGGACTAAAAACAAGACAAAACATTTTTTTTTTGGCATAAATTGTATAAATTCGGTACTTCATTAAATACAATTCTGTAACTCCTGACTAACTATAATTCATACTTAACATTGCATGTTTTGCGATGTGACTATTGCGAATGCACGCATTGCAATATCGATGCTGAAACAATATATTACGCAGCCCTAATCAGCAAGGTGTTGTTGATGTTACATTTTATAGTAAATTTTTATTAACGGAAAATGTGAAAATAAAATATTTTATACAAGAAACTCACACAAATGCAAATATGTTGCTTTGCCATCTAATTAATAAAACATCAGGCATTAAAATGACTACAAATAAAGCCTAATTGACCCAAAACAAACTGAAATCTAATAAAAATGTCAACCTTAATGAAATCGACTCAAATACCCTATTTAAAATATGAATAAATTTTAACTAAATCAGGGCTTTCCAAAATGGTTTCTGGAAGGCCACTGCCCTTACCAAAAATAGTACTCTATACTATATTTATGTAATGATTTATATGTTTAAGTATACTTCGTTTTTTAATATAATAACATCAGTGTACTATTAGTATACTGGTAAGTGTGCTACTAGAATACCACTTGGGACTAAATTGTAGGGCTGCGTGATTCTGACTAAAAGGAGAATCACAATTTTTTATAAAATAAAGAAATAAAGTCCACGATTTTCTTATGATTACGTAAAATAAAGGTTAAAATGAGTAGGCTATTATTATTGGCATTTCTCAAACATATGGTTAAACAATAATATTAGGCCCATGTGTAGGTTTACTGTTGGTTAAAATGCTAACTTTTGTATAGCCTTAGAATGGTTTAAACTTTAAACTTTGGTATGGTAAACTTTAAATATGTCCAGGTCGTTAATGCACAGTAAAATCATGGCATCAGAATACAACTATTCATAAATCTGAATTTGAATCATTATGTTTGAGAATTTTTTTTTTTTTTTTGCTCACAATCTGTCATTGACAACATTATTAGATTCCTTTTTTCACTAAAATATACATATACATAATGAGACATTTGTCATCAGATTTCCTCATGCATTATATTCAACGTTATATAGGCTAGTGTAGTTATACTGACACTGTTAAACATTTATTCTCATGCACACTTTTTGTTCACTATGAAAGTAAAAAAAAAACTCAAATGCTTGCCGTAATCTTAACTCCAAAATGCGATATGATCGTTTCAATGAGGTGCGCAGTTTTGGTTTCACTTTCACTGCTGAGTGCGGCTCATGTAATGGCTGCCATCACTCTGAAGAAAAACATACACAAATACATGCTAACCATACATCACGTGCGGCTCCCAAATGATCGCTCTGTTCAACAAACTGAACATATTTACAACTTTATTACCTTTTATTCACAGCCCATGCAGGTTCTGTTCACTTAAGTGGACATTGTTAAAAGGTGCACGCATCCTCTCTGTAGTAAAAATACAGCTCACTTGTGATTTCGCGCTTGCGAAAACACCATTACATTAAGACAGAAATGTCATTTGTAGTTAAATTATGCCTTTATAATTACAGTACTCTGTGTGACTCTT